TAAGAAGAAATAAAGTCAGGGTGAGTAAATAAAACCTGTCTTTGTAATCCTCAAGTGATTACCACTTAAGTTCATCTAGTTTCTGTCTTTTCGCGTTCCTCTTATTAGGGATTTTGCTTGTAGCTACAAAGCAAGAACCCGGAAAATTTTGGTCTATGGTCATATGACGAGTTTACTTGCCTATGCAGTTCACTGTTGCGGTGTTTTCTTTTGACTTGTGAGTATTACTTGCGAAATATAGTAAAGTTAACAGAAGTGGCTACTATTAATTTCAAAGCCTTGGGGAAGAAAAAGAATGCATGAAAATTGGGAAGCTGTTGGCTATACCACAAATAGGACGTGATGCGTTTACCATTCATGTTAGGAAAAGAGCAGCTAGCCAAATTCCTTGAGAGTAAGCGACTAGTAGCTGCCTCATCTCAGAGCTTCAGCTAGTATTCTTCAAGGCACTCAAACTCAAATTAAAACCAGCCCTGGTGCTGCTAGCTTGGCGCCGAGCTATGGCACCACTCTGCAGCTTGCACTTACGAGGTTGAAAACTTGACGATTTAGAGGCTTACGATCGATATATATCATATGAAATCTATGTGACGATTTAGAGCCATACGATCGATGTATAGCATATGAAATCTATGTGACATCATTTGATGTTCTAATGGCACTTCAAGAGCCAATTGTTTTGGAGGCTAGGTGTTTTTGAGGAGAAGGGAGAACGATCGAATTTCATATTAGAGCTATTTTGCATCAACAATACAATATGTTTAACTAATTACTCTTTCTGTTTCATTGTAATTGATACACTTTGGCTTTTTTCAATTCATATGCTCCGTATGAAACTTTGACTATAGCTTGAGTAATAAATGAAAGACAATTAGTATCTGTAATATGTTTTTAAATGGATGTTAATGTGAATTTAATACTACCTCCGTTTCTTATTATGTGCAACAAAGATGTATTATTTGTGAGACATAAAATATTCCTTTGTTGCACATAATATGAAACGGAGGTAGTATAACCTTTAAAAACTGTTTTATTAATGTTTAATTATATATATGTTAATGATCAAATTAATGCATAAAAAAAAAATCCTGATGCATTGATTAATCGACATATAATGTGTGCCAAATTAAATGATGTGTCAGTTATTATGGAACAGAGTATGTATATACTCGTAAAAATAAATTTGAAGAAATCTACACAAATGATTTTGACACGCTATATGTGAGTAATGTGATCTAGAGCATTGTATTCCAAGCCAAAATCAATCAAAGGCATGCTAAAATCAAATTCAACGTACTCTCTTCTTCCTTATTACGTGCTAGAATACTCCGTTAGAGAATTATTCATCTTATTATTTTATATTTAAAAAAGTTTACATTAAAAATAATAAAAATAAAGAACATAGATGATTAATTCAATCACTTTTTGTTGGAAGTAATTTATCCAATATTCCCAATAACTAAGCTAGTTTATAATGTTCTTACGTAGTATGGTGTTAAGTGATGCTACGCCATTATAACGAAAATAACAAGGATGGTGGTTGTCATAATGAATGACATTTGCCTTTCTAAATGTCCTAGAAAGGTGTGCTTGTTTATTTTAGAAAGCGATGATTATATATTTTATATGCCCTACAAAATCAATGTGTCTTTTAACCCCAATGAAATTTCCAAAGATTTAAACATTTTGTGGGACGTCTACTAAATTATGAATTGTCCCACTTCTTGTCTTCTTGTATTCACTTCGTTTACTCGAATAAGTTTGCTCATGTGCATGCTTCAAATCATTATTATCTAGTACTTGTGCTTTGTTTTCAACCTTTTTCTTCAATTTTGATGAGATGAGTACTATAGGAGTTAGTTGATGGTTTAGATGGGTGTTATTTATGTGTGATTCATTGATGTCGTGTTTGATCCGTGTCGGGTTTGTGTTGTTTATAAAGGTATGTTTAATAACGATAAGAATGTATAGTAATTAAAACTAGGTTATGTGAATTTACTTACAATTGAAGAAAGGATTGTATGTACAATAAAAGATTGAATCTCTAAAGCCTTCAATTTATAATGTAATAATGATACGATTTTGGTTGTAAATTTATAGCTAGTGCTGTTCACGCTTTGTTCATGTGTATTTCACTAGATCCAATTTTATTTTGAATTAATAATCATCTTTGAAGCAACTTATTTTCAAGTTTATGTACATTGCATGTAGAAATGTTTTGGCTATGCAATTGAGTACCATGTCATGGTGAAAATTCAATTCACTCAATTATCTTATCTTATATGAAATCATTTTATCTTTAAAGTAATAAGTAAACTTTGATTTTATTTTTTGGGATTTTTGAAAGTATCTTTAAGATAATAATAAAGCTTTTTTTACACTTAAGATTACTCCTTTAAGAGTTGGAAATATACGATTGTAGATTCTTCTATTAGCTACAATACTAACTAGAGCAAAATGGTTAAGAAAGGGAAAAGGTGTAGTATTTGACACACAACCACCCTTAATATGATGTGAGCCACAAAATACTTTTAATTGAGAACTGATTTATGTTTCATGCGTTTAATTTCAAACTCAAATTTGTAGTAACAACTAACAACCCTTCAACATTGGATTTGCTAGACAAAAAATGCACAATATTCTCCTGACACATTAACTGACTAAACTAACTTTCACTAGAAAGCTAGAATTTGGTTTTGCTATACAAAAAATGCAAATTAAAAAATTGTAAGTTTATCGATTTTGAAGTATGCATCCTTAAGGAATAATTTTAAGAATCAAATATAGTTTCTAATATCATACTCACTACATGAAGTTTAGGAATCTATGACAAATCATGTGTTCCTTGATAAGTAGTAAGATGGTCTAACAAGTACTTATTCTTACTTTTAACTTATTATTTGCAACTCTAAATAATACATGTATTATTTTTTCAAAAATAATCGGCCCTTATTTATACCTTCTACTAATTGAGTACCAAAAACACATTGGTGTGCAAACTACGGAGCTATTCCACCCAATTAATGTAGCACGTACTTAATCTTATTACATGTACAACAGGTCGACGAATTTTGAAAACAGATCACATTTAAATGGAGACAAAGGGAGTAATAGTTTGATTCGATCGATCACCATACAAAATACTAGTGTAGTTGACGTTCCTTTCAGAATGTATGATATACTATACTCGACCTTGGTCTATATGTTTGTGTACAGTTTACTCAAAACATCCGTGCGGATGATATGGAAGCTAGAAAATGACATCAAATTTTCAAGATAATTAGAGAAGCCTTTAATTATCTTAGCAGTTTAATCTCCTAGCCTAATAAGATTTTGATTCAATAAATCCAACAGCATGTACTCGCGTACTAGAAACATTGCACAAAACTATGCATTGAACGTGTTAATGTTAGAGGACCAACTCAATCAAAAGTTTAAACTGATGGTTGAGGCCCAGGAATATGTTTTGTACTCTATCACTCCCCCTCACATGAAAGGCCTTTGGGCTTGAAATGTGGATGCAACACAGGCCCACCCATACCTGGTGCGAATTAATTTCACTTTGAAGGAGGGGCGGATGAGATTCGAACCCGTGACCTTTGTGTCACACGCTGGCTCCGATACCATGTTAAACATGTTCCTGGGCCTCAACCAAAAGCTTAAACTGATGGTTAAGACCCATGAATATGTTTTATACTCTATCAGTTAATTTGGTGCAACTCTCTTACAACCCCTAAGATATAATGTTGTCACTTATTAGTATATAATTAAATTAAACTTTGAGGGTTTATAGCAAAAAAGATTATTAATTCACATGTTTTTGTTTTTGAAATCTAACTAATGACAAAATCTATTTATAAACCAAAAGAAGAATGAGACAATAATTTTTGTTTCCTCCCTTAATCACCTAATTAAATACTGCTACAATAATTAGTTCATGTTGCCAGGCATGAATTGTCCATTTTACATAATTAAAGTGCTACATGGTCCTTAATTATTCTTATTCTAATCTTGTTATCTCAACTTTTATCTCTAGATGCTTGAGTATCAAGCTACATATTTATGACGATTCGATTACAATATTAGCTAGCTGGCTTTGATTAATGCAGGATTAGAAGCATTATTAGTATTAGTTAGATGACCAAGACCAACGTAACAATTATAAGATCTTTCTTTTACCCTTGTTATATTATTATTGTATGTTTATTTAATTATTTTAAGGGATCTTTAGACTAGTAGAAACTTAATATATGGATTCAAATTTAATCAAGCTCAAGCTAATTATAGCAAGATTCCTAATTTGAAGTAGAAAATTTTCTATACTATTATATGGGGTTTTTCCTTCTTCAAGCAATAATAATCATTCGATGGAGATTGATTTGTCCATGATACCTTCATCACACCACAATTTTAAATCTCCAACATGAGGAATCATGGAGGAATTTTTTATATTTCAATTGAAGATTATATTTTGATTTTCAATTTTCGCAAATGAAATATTAAAAGCCGTCCATTCTATAAATTGTGACTCACATCAATGCGAGTAACAAATTATGTTGAGAACAATCTATTCTAACAAAAAAGTATATCGTACAATGGATGTACGGGTAAAAGTATACCTTCTAATTAAGTAAATAAAATTGATTTAATAAATGGTAAAACAAGTTCAAAAGTACATCAAAAGATATGTTGTTGCGGAGTACATTAATATCTTAAAATCAAAATTATCTTCCTCTAGCAATTTCAGGGAGAAAAAAATTCAAATCATCAAATATATTGATGTATTAAGAAACACAATCAATAATCAACTTTGCTTTCCTTATTATCTTCAAATCTCATTCATGTACCAATAAGTACAGAAGTATTTACATCAAAACCTCTCTTACTAGCATCAATAGTTTCCTTTTATAAGAAACTTTGATTTTTTATTAGTGTTTTCTTATTTGTCTGATTTTGTTCATGAACTTTAATGAATAATTCAAGAACAACAACATAAAAAATACAAGCAAAACAACAAAATATTCATTTATAATTCTCTTCATAAGTAAACAAAACAAAAATTAAGATAAGTCTTTAATCTTATCTCTAATGTACAATTTATATCAAACTATATACTTCATTATGTTTATAACATGATGAATAATCTACAAACATATGTTACATCTTTCTGTATTAATTATTAATTCCATACTACCTTGACCAACAACAACCTCACCTTAGCTTAATTACTCACATCAAACTTTATTATATAAATCCTCCTTTCATTTTACATTACATGCTTATAGTATTAATTAACTTATTAAGAATTAATTAACCGGTGTAGAGCAGTAATTAACAATACTTCTCATGACATTTACCTGAGTAGTAAGACACTTAATATAATGAGCAGTCTCATCTAACAATTTTTGCATATCCATTTCTTCTCCACCAGGCACCAACCTCCTTAGCTCTTGTGTTTGGCCGCCTTGTTGGCGGACCGCCCCTCGCCGTTGCTTTCTAGCAACAATAATACTATTTTCTCTTCTCAACAACCCACGCCGCCACCAGCTAAGCCGGATCCTTGACAACACTGCCCGGCTCCACGCCCGTTTTGGACCAACGGCCGCGGCCATGGATGCATCAGCTGCCACCTTTATCTTATGGAATTTATGATGAGTCATCATAACAATATTACCATTACCTTTGTAATTAATTTTGTTATGGATTTTTTCTTGGTGGTTGATTTTTTTTAGGGCTTTTAAGAAACGAAGGGCAAATCTTGTTCTTAGTGACTTAAGGTTTAAGGGTATAAGACGTTGATTTTGATGAGGATTCATTTCTTTTTATTGTTTTGGGTGTTTTTTAGGGTTTGTTTGGGAAATAATGAGTATAAATGGATCAAAAATCTAGGGAAAGTTTTTGAGAAGAAGAAGAAATTGGATTTTAGAAGAAGAGATTTTGTAGGTTTTTTTTTTTTTTTTTTTGGGTGAATTTTCTTACACAAAAGGGTCCTATTGTCAGAAAGACAAAAGGAGATTTTACTTCTGACTAAAAATCTGACACAAAATTTTGTACTTATACCCAATGAACTAGGAGAACCAACAAGAGAAATTCTAGGGAGGGTGGGGAAGGAGGCTTGACTCTTGAGCTTGGGGTTTTTATAGACAAAATTAATTAAATTAACAAAAAAAAAATTAAAAAATAGGAAAATTAGAAAAGTATTTTTTTTATTTTTTTAATCGGGGGGTGTTTGGGGGCCAATTAATTGGTTGGAGGGGGTGGAACAAACATGTGAAGAGAATGGGGGAAGGAAGAAAAATTAAATAAAGTAAGAGATGAGAAATGGGCGGTTGTAGTTAGAGAAGAATGAAGAAGGAAGCTTGGCTTGAGAATCAATTCACTTTCTTTTTGGTAGATTAATTAAAACAAGTTAGATATGAAATTCTTTGGGGTAGTCAAGGGAGACATTAATTTAGACTGTCAAGAAAGATTTCGAGTCTAAAATGAAGAAATAAACTATGGAGTATATGAATGGATTAAAAATAGTTAGTCAAATATATGCACATTGATGACTTTTGGTATAGTCATTTGTTTCATTTTACATGTATAACAACGTTTTAACTCAAAATATATAATTACCAGTTCATAGTCTTAATCACTAAATTACTATAATGTTCAAGACTAATATATTGATTAGATTTAAGTGATTTGGTTTACTAACCTTTATGTACTAATTTTCAACTTGATTCTTACCTTAAAAAGTACGACTCCTAAATTTCAATTACAAAATTCAAAATATAAAATAACATCAACAACAAGATATTAGATGTGCCACCTACAAGTCTTGCTTTGGTCCATAATACTCATCAAACTCTCACACTCCTAAAATTAACCCCACTATATTAGTGCTATCAATTCTCCCATAAATCAAATTAACTTGCAAAATGTAGATAATTAGTCCTTGATAGATTAGTAGCATAAATAAAGTTTTAAAGGCATATATGAATTTGAAAATGAGGGTTTAGAGAAGAAAAAAAAAAGTGAGTAAAAGGTGGGCCTAAGAATGGCCAACTACCATATGATTGCACATGGTTCCATTACCCACTTGGACTACAAAGTGGGCCCCCAGTTTTGCTTACCCAAAATTTGTCCCATCACTATTCTTTCTAAGTACTTTACCCATATATTTTTCTCTTCTTTACAATATTTGTCGTCTTTAGTAAATTAAAAAGGAAATGTCACGGTGTATACGAGACCACCATATATATACAATTATAAATATACGAGTATATACACACTAATATATCATATATCCGTTACACCTACATTTCATAATAATTGAAACACTTTAGCTTTTGTACTATTTAAAAATTAAACTTTTAATTAATTAAATATATGCATTAATATGTGCAAAAGTCCAAGCATTACTAGTCTTATGAAATCTAAAGATGTATTTTATTTATTTTTTAAAATTATTTATTTTTGCATTTATTTAATATATTTGTTGATTTCCTGTGGAAATGATTGGTTGTGGGGGCTATTTTTAATTTTATTTTTTCTTTGAATTTCTAGTGGATTCAGCAGTTAGTTATATAATGTGGGGAAAATGATATCTTTACTCAATATATATCATTAAATTAAACCCTATCTTATTTATTTTGGATCGTCCAAATATGTCACTTCTTCTGTTCTGAACTTTCTTTTGGATTTTTTCTTTGGTCCTTATGAAGTTATGATACATAATTATTAGGGTGGTTTATGGATATTCTTATTTTGATTTGTAGGTGGTTGTGTAATTAGGATATTCTTATTTTGATAAATTAAATACTACTCTTTTTTAATAACTATTTATGAACAAAATTAATTACTACTCTGTACTACATATGAAGAATATGTCAATCATGTAGTAGATCACTAGACCAGATCTTGAAATAGAATGTATGATTTTGGTTGATTTTTCAAATCATCAATTTTGTTAGCTATTAGTCTAAAGATAAGCTTTAACTTCCTCCAAAAACAATAAAATGAATGGCTTTAACAATATAATAGGAGACAAAAGTCTTCGTCATAATGCAAAAAAACATATCAACAATATATAGTATCTTCGAGGTATATGTACGTATAAATTAAATGATAAAAAAAAAAAAAAAAAAACAATAGCATATTACAAATTAAGATGTTTGAAATCGATTATTTTAGATTAAAATGAATAATCTAGGTTATAAGAGATTACAATCTAGAAAGGAAGAATTATAGAGACTATGAGAGCTACGATCTACAAGAGGTCAAGACTATCAAGAGCTAGGTTATGTAGTTATAACCTATACAGTATGTTATACTTTTTATTTGTGGTTCAATTCCAATAAAATTTATCGTCCACTACTCTACTTTTCTTTTCTTTAAAAAAAAAAAGTCTTTATTTTTGGTTCAGGATCTTTTTAATTAATTATATCTCTTTCTAAATTAGATTTTGTAATAATTTATGATGTGAATGACTAGTACTTTGTATATATATATAGTAGTGTATGACATACATGCATGTACCTTTTGCTATTAATATAAGGTATAATATACTTCATTACTTATTGCATGCAATTGTATAAAGAATGATAAGGTTATACACTTGTACATATAGATTATTTGACCTTTTTTAATCTTCAAGTAGTATTAGGGTGATAATGTTATATTCATTTAAAATAATTTAAAGTGGATATATATTAATTTACTTGCAAAATTGTCAATAGTTATGATATATAATTACAAATGCTATGGCCAGGTCACAATGTCACTTTCATATTCTTCAATTTGTTGGATATAGGATCAAATTTCTACGAAGACACTATTTAATCTTTTGCATGTAAAAAAGAATATGATTTACGTGTAATGTGTCTCTTCAAAAAGGTAGAATAATGTCGACTCTTTTTAAAATTAGATAATTAATCAAGGAAGTGGAAGGATCAAGGAATATTAAGCAAAGTATAGGATCATATCATATAATCCTTAATTAATAATGAAGATAATGTAAATATTCCGATCCGAGATCTATACTATATTTTTTTTTATTGTTTAGAGAGTCACGAGAACAAGTGATGAGAATCGATCTCAGGATCACTTGAAATCGGGAGGAAAACTTTAACCACTTGAGTTATCCTTCACTCTCTCCGAGATCAATACTATATATATAATGCTATATATCTATGTAATAATGTTATGTGATGTCTTTAGATGGTTGTCAAGGGTTAAGTGAGTGGAATAGAATTAGGAGTTAGGACAAAAGAAAGCTCTATAAATAGCTCAAGCTTGTATGAATTGTGTGGATATATATTGATCGAGAGTGGTAGGAAAAATGCTAGTATATGTTTGGAGATCGAATCTTTGAAGATAAAGCCTTGTGAAAGAAGCTATATAGGCTGATAGGCATGCATGGTGCTATATATTGGTGGCTTGCTTGATCATTATAATCATGGTCTACTTTTATTTCTACATTTTTGCTATTTAAAGAGACATGTTTGCACATGGGTAAATGAATATATAACCTAAAAGTGAACCTGTCACAACGTTTCTTAGAAGGTACCTTAAGTAGTAAACTAGCTACTCCGTATTAGGGTTGTCAAGTGAACTCTGAAATATATCGTAATTTAATTCTTATAATCATGCTAACTCGCATGTATATTATCGTAAAAGTTTATTATAAGACCCTTGTTATAGAGGTTGATTTTGATTCCTCCATATTAATCGCTAGCTCCCGTCTCCACAAGTAAAAAGTTGCATTGCATCTTGTTAATAAGCCAAGAATAATAATTAAACTTACATACAAACATAGTATAAAACTTGACATAAATGTTATTAAGATCATAATATATATAATATTATTTTTATTATATATGGGGATAGTTGAATTAGCTAAAATTATAAAAGTATATCCTTTACAAGTATATGAGTCGGCACTACAGTATGGACAAAGTTTTTTCATCTATTATGTGATATCCATTATTTGTCATAGGAGAACTAAATAATAATCCTATAAATGGAAAGTAATTGCCGACTATATTCTAAAATGTGGTGGATATTTAGACATATATATAAAGTATAAAATATATTATTGTTGTTATTTTCTACGGAGTACACAAATAATTGTCGTCATTTCTCCAAATACTCTCGATCTCAATCTATCAGTTCGAGTGCCTTTTGGGTTCGTTAAAGGCTGTTGCATCAACTTTGTAATTTAGGGTATATAAGCTCTATAGACTATAGTCCCATGTGGTTACAGTTTTTTTGTCACACAAGTGTCAATTTAAACAACACGTAATCGCTAATAAAAGTTGTAGGTCATCGAATCGATTCTTAATTATACTATTATATATATTAATATATGATATGTTATGATATGATATGGCATATGTACAATCTTAAATTTATGTTCAATTTGATATCAAGAGGAAGTAATAAATATCTACTCATCGTAATATTTATGATGTATGTATGTGATTAGAGTAAAATCATCTTGTTTTATGTCTCTTTATTCTTTTGTATTGTTATTACTTCGACTAAAAAGAGAGAAATAATAAGAGAGAATGGATCGAAATAGCTAATTAAAGATCGAGAGATTTAATTTGGATCATCGATTTAATTCCTTTTCTTTCTCTTTAATTAAGGACAAAATACTCTACAATTGCACATGTATATATTTGTACTTATTATGTGAATTGCTCAACTGAACTTCGTTCTCATAGGAAAATGATTGGACATGATTCACACGAAGAAAGCTTGCTTGATGTTGACTTCAAAAGATGTTTATTTGATTGCTCATTCATTAGACTAATTAGGAGAGTCGATCTACCCAACTCCTCTAGCTGTAACATCATCATTAATTAACATCTTATGTACAAATGACAAATTGAATGCATTTGTTCCATTCTTATTCATATTTCCAAGTGAAATTAAGCACGATAAGAACCAATTATTGGGATATATTAATTCACTAGAATGAAGAAAATAATACTATCAAATTAGTAAAATTACTTGCTTGGTACTATATATATTTAGGGTTGGATCGGACTTGAGAGTTGAGACTAATACAAATTATTTACTTGTGGGTGGGGCAAGCTAGCTCTTCTATTCTGGCTCACGGGTTCACTTGGATATATGGTTCATTCAAATCGTTGGAGAGTTCGAGCCAAGAAAATTCCCGATCCATGGAGTAACATCATTTGGAATCCATTCTAGTTTCATTATTATCTTAATTATATTATAATCATATATATACTAATATACTATAGATTAAATAACATTTTGCATTGTGATATTTTCAATAGAAATAATGAGTTTAATTCTACAAATTATAAATAAAATTTAGTATAGCACAGATAAGTGATAAACTATTAAAGAATATATGTTGTGTGGAAAATGGAGGTGCACGCATGCACGTATTAATAAACATACATACGTGCATATGTACAACTCATATTTGATCTTCTAGATAGACAGCTAATTGCATGTATAATAATATGGTCC